AGCCTTCTGAAAATAATTATAAAAAAGAGCTAACTATTGAAGCTCTCTATTATAAAACCCAGAAAATATGGCAGAGGTGTCAACATTATCATGTGTCACACATTGATAAAATAATTTATTTTTTGATAAACCCCATGAGGTACCTATACATCCTGTCACGAAAAGAATGTATAGGTACAGCCTATTTGTAAACAACCATACAGCACTACTCCCTCATCGTAGCTTCTTCCTAACTGTTCATACTATTCAGATAGCACTTATTATACCAACTATTGACAACCTATACTTTAGCTTAAGGATCCTTACTGATTTGCAGTTTTCGGTTCATCTTTTACTTTTGACATAATGTACCTGAATTATTTAATGATGGGATAAACATTGTAATGCAGCTGGTGCTATTCTACTGCTTTATTTCTATAGACAGGAATAAATACCATAAATCCTTTAAATAGAAAAATACATGTACAGTTAATTGAATCATCTTGTTTTCCAGTCTGATGATCTGGTTGAATTGTCCCTGTAAAGTGCACTTGAAGTGACATGTGTTATATAATTAAACTGAATTGAATTGAAATATATTTTCAAATAAGTTGCCATCAAAGCTGTATCTGTTTTTTTGTTAATTAGTCTAATCTTACATTTTATAGACAGGTAAGGGGGCTAAGATTGGGTCTGAAAGATGCATCCAAAACAAGACTCGGTGTGTGTCTTGTGGATATTGTGTAGAAACTCTAAGCTAAGTTTATATTAGAATAAACTGTATTTAGTTCTACTGGATGTAGAGCATGAGTATAAATATAGTACACACCCTTAAAATTGGAGGGTGTACTATACACTAACAGTCAAAGAAGGAGGAATCTGATGACTTTGGAATAGCAACCATAAGCTGCTGATGAAATGATGAAAATCCATGGGCAGTTTTGGTCTGGCAATATTTAAAACCGTTTTTCTTTTAACATGTCTTTACTGCTTCTGGGCTGCAAAACCACCTCTGTGACTCCATTAGCAGTTGGGTAATTATCTCCTCCTGAACCGTAATTATAGGAAACTGGTTGGTCTGGTTCAAGTAAGAAGGTTATGAAAGGGACTGCAATGAATCATTAAGCCAAGTAGAGCGATTGGTCGGGCCTTTGCTCTTATACTGTTTAAATACAGTCTGAATGGAGTTTGTGTTGACTCACAGGGCTGGGCTTCTCACATTAGCTTTCATTAGCCTCACCGCGGCTGAACCCAACTGAAAACGCTGCCGGCTGCTGAGCTGACGGTGAAAACAAGCCTGACACACATGCACCCTCAGCTGTCTGCACACACTGCAGCCTCACAGCCTGACAGTCCAGCTTTGTGTTTTACTGTCAGCCTTTCAGGTTTTTTTATTTTGCTGGTTCCCGCACACAGTCTTCATAAAGTTGTCTTTTATTACCAACACACTGCTCCTTATGCACACATCCTTTTCACACACCAACTCTTTCATCTTTCTTTCTCTTATCTGCATATGGAAATCAACAAATTGGCCTCTATCTGCAACAACTGATTCTGTGTGTAGCAAATAAAAACAGAAATGCACATTTCTTTAGTTTTTTTTTATTTGTAATGATGTCTGCTGTAATTTTATAAAATATAGCTGCTGTAGAAGCTGAAAATGGTCTTCCCAGGAGCAGGGGAAGTGGAAGGGGGTTAGACTATTTTAAGCTCTCACAGTCCACCAGGACTGAATATCTGCTGTGTTTTTCTGCATGCTGTGTGATTATGTCTTTTAACTTTTGTCAGTGTTTAAAGCACCCGATAAATTTGAGGGCTCTTGCACACAATGAGCAGAGTGCCTCTGAGAAGATTCATGGTAGGATGTACTTCTTTGTGCATGAGGATTTGTACGTAGCTTAGCAATTGCCTGTTGTCATGCTTCACACTCCAGCCATGTCTGCAGTCATCACCAATCACAGCGATATGGGGTGATGGACTGCTTGCTGACAAGTGGAAAAATCCGTCTCTTACAGAGGTCAGTGAGTGAGTGATGACCCCAGCAGACAGATAGATGGACTGAGAGGCAGAAGGGGCTGATTGTTGCTGTCTGTCCTTAACCCCTTAGGCAGAATCAGAGTGGACTCATCCACTTACTTTACATTATTTGTCCTAATTTCCCTAAAAATATTGAAGCTAGTTTTGAATAATGTCTTAATCAATTGACTTTAATGCTCTTATTATAGCTGGAAGGCAGTAAACAGGCTCTCTAATTGTTTTTGAAATACTAACCATTTTTAAATTTAGACTTTTATTTTATTGAAAGAACAAAGGATTATTTTCTTTTTATTTAGTTGTCAATGCTATTCTATATGATGCATTTCCTACTTTTCAGTCTTGTACCCATAAATAAAATCTAGCCCAGTAAACTGACCTTTTCTAATTTGTGTAATGTATGTAATTTAGGCGATTATACCATTCGGCTTTATAGCAACGGGTGTGGCGGTATTAGGTCAGGAAATGGTTTGTTGCTGGAGGGAAAGCTGCACCTTAAAAACAGAAAGCATAATCTTTTATAATCTCATAATCAAGAATTTTTGGCATAAACGGGTCTTCCAAATAGGCAATGAAACTAAATGTGGCTTTTAAAAATTATTTTTTTCCCTTAAAAACAGAAGTCTAGACAGAGCTGAAAAGATGCGCGTAGGGAGAAGGGACTCCATTCTGGACTCATAAGCAGTAGTTCTGTCAGGAGGAGTTGGCCAAAATTCCAGCAAACTATAGTGAAAAGCTTCTGAAAGGGGTTTCCATTACATGTGGCTGAGCTGTCATACAGTTTAAAAGATCATTTTGCTAAATACGGAGGAAACATACATTTCTGAATTTCAAAGTGGGTTAAGAACATGAATACAAACTCTCTCATATGACATTAGAATACACAAATAGTTCTAGTAATTCTAACATCGTTAAAGTGGGACATGTTTAAGGCAGATTTTATGTCAGACACTGAAAAACAAAATATAATGCAGTGAGTACAAACATCTGTTTTCAACTGATGTTGAATCTGCATTAGCTTTAAACCAAAGTTTTTCAGCTTCGCTGTTTGTTTTCTCTAAAATGGGTAAGAAAGAATCAAGGTGATCTGCTTTTTGTACATTTGTTCATTACCTAAAAATTACCTAAATTTTTTGGGTAAATTACCTAAAATGATTTACCAAATCTTTGATAAAATAAGATAAGATGGGATAGACTTTATTGATCTCACAGTGGAGAAATTCACTTGTCACATCAGCTCAATAGACAAAAGAAGGTGCCAAAAGGAGGAAAAGGTGCATGAGGTATATACAGTGCATTCAAATATATTCAATGGATGGAGACAAAAATAAAAAAAAATAAATCGGGCAGAGGTTTAAGGTTACTTATGTACATCTAAGGTGAATTATACACCTATGGATTACATTAAAATGGTACCACGTACGGAACAACAGTGAGGTAGTGAGATAACTATAACAGCTGAAGTCTCTTATTTATTTAACTGGAACATTGCACAGGTTATTGCACAGGGTATTAAATAGTAATTGTTTCAAACATTACCGGTAGTTATTGCACAAGTTATTGCTTTTATAGTGCCGCATTGTAAAGTCTAATGGCAGCAGGGATGAATGACCTGCTGTAGCGCTCCATTTTACACACAGGATGTCTTTCACTGAAGGAGCTGCTCAGCTCCTCTACAGTCTGGTCCTGGGGAGAAAGGGGGTGTCCATGATGGATGTAAGCTTGGACAACACTCTCATCTCAGTCACTTCCTCCACCAAGTCCAGATTACAACCCAGGACAGCCTTTCTCACCAGCTTATTCCGTCTCTTTGATTCAGATTTCATAATCTTGTCGTGAGGTTTAGCTTTACTTGTAATAGCCTATGTTGTCTATTAGTTCCTTCTAAGTATATAATATAATTTCAGCTTTAATAATGCACTTTTTTGCTATCTTAATGTTTATGTTTTGCACTGATTTCACTCTGGTCACATTAATCTGCCCACACAAAATGAAGCCAGTGACTATAATTCTGTGAGCTAATATCATCGTTGCTCTAATGCTCTTTGTCTTAATGCCATGCTGGGCTCCTGGCTATTACACAGACACACAGCAAAAGCCCAGAATAAAATCCCTGTTGCTGTGTTAGCAACAGAGATGATAAATTATCTCACAGGTATTGTTATGAAAGACGGTTAGTCGGTACCTGTGAGCAACATTTCAATCCTGAACTATGTGAGATTGCACCTCCTGGACCTCCATTAGGGGCTTAAATTTAAACTTTGTGTAACAAAGACAGCAAATTAGCTTTTTAGCACGTTTATCAAGAAAGGTTTTCAGCATGCATACAATGAGAAGTTTATCCTCAAGTTCTCATCAACAAAAACATCAGAGCAATTTTCATAGATGGTGCTCTTTCTTGAAAAAAAAAATCAAAAGCCTTAATGTTTAAAAGGATTAAAACAACATGTAAAAATAGCATATGAGAATTTAAACTGTGCTTTCTCATTAAAATCAGACCCCTTACTTGGAAGATTGTTTGGCAGCAGCAGTTACCTCGGTATTAATGTTTGATGTGCAAACAAGGATTGGAAAATAACTAGAATGTGATGACAGTTCCTCTTGTAGCCTGCACTCAATGCCATCTAATAGGACAGCATTTGTAAGACACGTCATGCGGTGGCCGGGAGGGAAAGGTTTATCCTCCCTGCTTGCCTTCTCTGCAAAAATCTTGTGGTAAAATAAAAATAAATGTTGGAGCTTTGATGTCCAAACAGCCTCTAACCACCGAGCCACTAAACTGCCCAACCCTGATGAAATGACATTTCCAAATAATGTATGTTTTTTACATTCAAGTCCAACATTAGGTATGATCTAAGAGTTTATAACATGTTACAAAATTTGAATGAAAATTGAACTAGAATAATTCTGTTTGTATGTTTCTCATCCTGCATGGTTGTTTTCGTCTTCTTAGTTGATCTTTAACATAGAATTTCCTTATATTTCAGGAGGAGGAGATGCCAGAGGTAGAGATAGACATTGACGACTTGTTGGAGATCAGCAGTGATGATGAGAGAGCCAGCAAACTACAGGTATGTTCCTGTTCCTGTGGCTTCAGCAGAGAGGATTGGTTGTCACAGAGGAAATCAGAAGTTCTTCTTAGGCTTCTGGCTTAACTCTAAAATAATGACTACACAGATCTCTCAGTGAATGAACTCTTTTAAGTTACGTCAGTTAATCTCAGCACAAAATGCATTTAACTCAACTTTAAAATCTAAATTTCTTAATTACTCAAACTAGCTCCATTGTTATAAAGAACTTATGGCCTAGTAACATTAGAGCCTCTATATGTCTTCATTATTATTATCTTCATCCTCTGACATGGGAGTTGGCTCAGAGCTAAAAGGGAGTTTTTCCTCTCCACTGTCACTACAAGCATGCTTAGTGTGAGGGATTGCCTTTGAGTCAATGAGTCGATGCAATCAATTGGTTTTCCTTAGATAGAAAACTTGGAATCAATTTGACTGTATGATCTGGTGAACTGTAAAGTTCCTTGAGATGACATGTTTTGTGAATTGGTGCTAAAGAAATAAACTAAAATGAATTATTCTGCTTTTTATTATATTCTAAACCTTAGTGTTAAAATTTCCTTCAGAATTTTTTAAATAGGAGTTTTAGAAGATAATTTTCAGTCATTAGAGACTTGACTTAGGAAAAATGACTCAAATATTCCTGGAGTCTAATCCTTTATTCTTTTTTTTTTTCTCTGATAATCATTTATTCTGCTTGGACTCCAACACCTGAGTAGAATATGAATTTTTCTTTAAGATCACACATACAGGACCTGCTGTGGTTTTTAATTATCATCTAATCTCTAAACAATTGTTTGTTTTTTTCCTCCTCCCTCAGGAATCACTAATAGACTGCTATAAGCCCACAGAGGTGAGTTTCTTTGCACCCAGCATGTTCTAATATGCTGATAGTTACCTAATTCATAATGCCGACACAAGCACAAATAGGCTACCTCTTTTTGGCTTTTATAACAGTACAGTGTTCACAGTAATGAGTTCATAGAGGTAAAAGTCTGTTTGGATGAGGTTGTGTTAGGCTATTTGCGGGATTAAAGGAATTACCAACCAATCACATTAACTCTGCACATGGTGAATTTTCTCAGGCTGAGCTTCCATCTGTCTTAATCAATATGTTTGTGTTTTCATTTGGAAGGTCTTTGCGACCAAAATCTTCATTACTGTCTTGCTACTTTAATATGTGCTCATACATGCCACCTATTTACCTGCAAGTAATTGCATACTTTTCTTTTTCCATAATAGTAAAAGCTTAAGAATTACAAACACCTACAGTGTGAACTTCAACTGACTGTGAAACCAATGTTTAATGCTGATAAATAAGTCTTATCCTAATTGGACCTATTTGATTTTTTTTTCTGTGACATGCTTGACTCCATGTACCTACCATGAGGATTCAAAAATGATGCACATAGCTACCAATAAAGATGTACCTTCTGCCAAGTGAAATAAGAAATGAAAGACAGAGGTATTGGTGGAGATGACGAATGAGGATAAAGGAAAGGATGAAAGGAAGGGGAAAGAACATTGAGATTGCTTTTTCTTAGTAGAGCAGAGAATAACAGGAGATTAAGGATAGGAGGTGAAAGGAAAGAGAGTGTTGGGAATAAATGATAAATAAAATGAATGCAGGTATAAGGGAAGGAAGGGAGAGACATCAGGAATTGGATCATGAGCCCTGACTGTCATCTGTAATCAGGTAGTTTATAATAGTGTTGCTCCGATGCCATTTTTTTTTTTTTGGCTCCGATACCGATACGCAATACCTGGCTGTGCAGTATGGGCCGATACCGATACCATCTGTTTGAAATTGATGTGTGTGTATATATGAAGAACTGCATACTACTTGGATGTTATATAATTGCCATCATGGCTTTGTCAAGCTGTTACCTACCTTTGTGAAGCAGGAAAAAGACTAAAACAAAGTGAATCCAGTAGAACTTTTATTGCCTACCTGGAATGGGTGACAATAGTTGAATAAACTTTAGGCTCTCAAAATAGTATCGGTGCCCTATTTGTCAGTACTCGCCGATACCGATGCCATCATTTTAGTGGTGTATCAGGGCCCCGCCCAATACTGGTATCTGCCATGAAAAATGTTTGTTTTGTCTTTTACAGACACAGTAAACCATTACAAAAAAATTTATTTCATAGTGCCTTTATTCAAATGATAAAATAACAATTAAAAAAGTCCCACGCCTTAATACTACATCTCTTTTTGACATTTTAAAATTTTTGACAATTTAAAATATATTGTGATTGTTGCAGAACTGGCATCGCGTCTAATTTTACTTATCTAATACTTGTTTAATTGTCTATAATAATTAATAATAGACAAATATTTGATAAATTAAGTTAATGTAGCTTTAAATGCACATGAACTATTTTAGCTCATTATGATCTGCTAATCTAACTTGATTAACCATCAAAACACACAGTTTCAGTTGATTCTTGTTGCTCTTAAAATAACAAATTTTAGGATTTTTCAACAATTCAAAACAGGGAGGTGGCTGCATTGTTTTGCAGAATCAAACCAAGACTGATTATAAATTGAAAAACATTCTCTTAAGGGAAGCATTTGAATTCCTCCTTAATACAGTAACTTCCTTGAACATGTGCATCTGGACGGTCTAACCATGTTTTCCTTTTTGCTCCTCAGGACTTTGTCCGCGAGTTGCTGGGCAGGATAAGGGGGATGAGGAAACTCAGCGCTCCAACCAAGAAAGGCCTATAATGGCTTTCTTATCAGTATCAACCAGCCATTAGCTTTCACTCCAGCTTTACCCACTTTCCTCATACAACATAAACTGCTATAATACAGAATTATTTATCAAAACATTAGGAAACCACCTAGCATTACCATCATAAATCACAATATCCATAATTTGGCATTAGTCATTCATTATGAAGCACAGTGAATTATCACGATAACATAAGACTGTTGAGAGATATCTACGCACAAAAGAAAAAACGGTGTTTGTTTTTTCAATGACAGAATAAAATGTTAAGCCCAGGAATGTGCCCAGACTGCAAGTACGTTCATAACCAGAACATTACCACTCAGATCATGTTAGGTTCTCATTTTTAACACCAACCTTGCAGAGAAAAAAAGAGCTTCAACATAAAAAAAAGGATAAAAATAAAATTCAAAATAGAGCATATTGAAAAGAGAAAAAGTTATTATCTTTTTTTTAATCTTAAATGAAAGCTACCGGTAGGTGGTTAAAAACTTACAGTAGGTGCACAATTAACTGTAGCACTATACAAACACAGTGCATAATTATTTCTTGTTTTTTCCTTTCTTTTACTGGAGTGTCTGCTGTTACGTCTTTTAAAAAAAAACGTGTGTGACCATTTCTTGTTCACATGAGTCAAATGTGGTTTTCTGCCATTATTTGTTGTTTTTTTTATTAACCTTTTTGTCCTCATTACATCAACGCGACCAGATATGTGGCGCAGCTGTTCTTTTGATAGATTTTTTTTTTTAAGCACAAAGCATTTTAATTATGCATACTGCATCCGTTTGGTCATTTTGTAAACGTATAACTTCTGAATAGAGTGGAGACATATTTAACAAAACACTATCAATATTTTTGCTAGTTAGTCATTGTTGTGTCTCAGCAAGGCATGATGGGTGTTGTAGTTCTCTGGTGGAGACTACAAAACCTGTATGATTGGCAGCCTTCCATTGGTGTGTTCTTCATGCTCCCTCAGAGGGCTTATGTGACCCTCTAAGCTCCAACACTGTATTTTTTTTTATTTAATTGGTTTTATTTACTTCTGCTAACCTTTTTCTGTGGTATTTGACAGAATTGCCTTTAAGGACATTCGGGTTCAGTTTCCTTTTTGCCAGCGGTAAACCTCAACTATTATAGCTGAAAGGCAAAGCTGGTGAGGTAAAGACCTGAGGCCAACACAGGATGGTTTTAAAGAGCCTACAGACCTTTGTAAAAATGCAATTAGTTTATCATTACATCTATATGGAGGAATGTATTCTTAATTACAATCTGATTCCATCCATTTTCTGGAGAGAACCCATGCATGCTCAGGGATGCAAATGATCCCAACAACATGCAAACTCCATGCAGGAAGAGCCAGGCTGGGAATTGAACTCTGATCTTCGTGCTGCAGGGCTGTAGTGCTGCAGCAAGAAGATCAAAATAACAGAAAATATGTGGTTCTAATATGCTAAGCTACTCTGTTAAAGCAGCTTTTTTATTTTATGGCAGAGTTCAATTTTTGTGTGTAGGAGTTGGCCATCATGTTACATCTATATCTGGCAATCTCTTCCCCATTCGTCTTTGCAAAATGCTCCATACCCTTCCAATTATGAGGTTCACCTCTGTGTTTCTCGCACTTTTTTTATGTAAAGCTCCTGGTGCTCTAGCAGCAGTTTGCGTTTGTATGAGATTGTGACACAAAAGGTTAGGAAAAGCTTTGTAGAAGCTGTATTTCTTTAATTATTTTTACTTTATACCCTAAAATATCGATATTTTATTCTTCTGTATCACTTAAAGGTCACATTAAAGGTGGAGAATGTTTTTACATCACAATAACCTGCCATTCAGCTAAAGGTGTGGTAACTTTTTCAATCCATTGTAAATGTCAACACTTGAATTAGTCATGCTCCTTAAGTGAAGGTGTATCACATTCAAAATATCATATTATGTCTTCAGTCATAAATGTGCATCAGAGATTTAAAACAGACTGTTTTATTTAAGGCTTTATAAAATTCCACAAAGTAGGTACAAACTTAAAGAGTTAAACACCTTAGAGTTTGCAAAAAACATGTTATACACACAAGAATTAATAAAACTCTGAATTAATAGCCTTTCTTTGCACCAACAACTCCATAAAACCTGTAGGCTCTGATACAACTATTTGTCTTTTATTGCGTTTGGATCAGCTATTACAAAGCAGGAGTACCAAATAGATAGGAGCATAGGTTTAAACATATGATTGGATCCATCAGCTACTAAAGACAAAAGCAGGGAAATGTTGGATTAAAATATCTGAGAGGCACCCATTTTGCATGCTAACAACAGATATTCATAGAGAATATAATATAACCATATATTTAAGCAAAAAAAAAAAAAGTTTTTATTCTACAAAAATCTTTTTTGTAGATCCTTTACTGTTGAGGCAACGTGAGTGACACGTTAGAAAGAATCCAGGAAAAATTTAAATGGTGCTGTTTTTGATGTTCTTCTCAGAGTTTAGCTGTTTTAAAAGACGTTCTCACTGTTGAATGATGACAGAGAAATATGTTTGGAACAAACATGTTTGTCTAAAACTGGATTTAATCTACTTTCTCAGCTGGTACTGGTCCGGTTTGGGGCCCCAACATTTAATAAAGATGAGATGTTTGCAAGATGAAGCCATTAATGAAAACTAGGATATGTTTTTATTTTTATTTTTCCTTTCGTTCATCCAAATAATTTTCTTTCAAGGATCAGTTCAGGGACAAGAGGCTGATATTTTATAATTTATTGGGTTTCATGTGGAGAGTGTTTTGAAAGTGACTGTTTTAGAAAGCTTTACATTTGCATGAATTTATAGAGTAGCATGTTGAGGGGAAAACTTTTTTTTCACCCAAGTTTCATAAATTAAAACCCTTTGCTTTTTATACATTTATTATGATTAATATTATTGCTATTATCACGGATAGTAGGAGTTAACTATTCAGCTTTTAAGCTGAATGTTGATTTCTGTACATCCACAACGAGTATTCCTGTTTATAAATTGTAATGTGGTGTGTGGTTTGTTTTTTGCTGATAATAAAAATAAGAAATGCAAACTCCCTATGCATTGTTTGAAAAATGTCTCTTATTTGTATAGTTATTAATAGTCCTGATATATACACACAGTACTTGAGTTGAGGGGGTGCCAAGGCACCTCCCTTCTTAAAAAAATCTTAAAAATTATCCTCCTTCTTAACTGACAGTCACCCTGCAGTTCTACTGTAAGGTGCCTTGGTCAAGGTCAATGACCGGCGTACCTGACATGTAACAACTATACCATGCATATTGCTTTAGGTTAATAGACTATATTAATTTTTTTATTTGTGCAACTAGACTACTTTACATGTATAGATAGATAGATAGATAGATAGATAGATAGATAGATAGATAGATAGATAGACAGACAGACAGACAGACAGACAGACAGACAGACAAAGGTCTAAATCATGTAGGGGTATACCAAACTGTCAGACTACTGTACTCATGAATACATTTGAAGCTTTTGGGAATGTTCAGGAAAATTCTTCCACATGGCTGTGCTTCAGCACGAGGGGCATATTACATCTATATAGATGGCAGTAGTTAAGTAGGACACCCCATACGCTGTCTAGCTCTGTAAAGTCCATCCGGGTATAACATTATTGTTCAATATGTGCATGAGTAGCTTTTCTCTGCTGCATGTCTGGCCCCCATATTGGCTAGCCTACTGTATCTTGTTTCTGGGTAGAAGTATTTATTTGAATGCTTTAATAAGAGACTAACACCGTAGATGTAAGATGGTATAATTCATTTTTTAAATGTAGAAATGGATAGATACTGACCACTGTACAAAATTCTGATGATCTGCATCTGATTTTTTTACAAAATACCTTTTAGCAAACAGACATGCTTCACACCTAAGGGGAGCCCGGTGTGGTCACATAGTGGTGCCATCAAAATCGTGCACTGAAATGGGGCTGCTTGTGCCTTTAAATTTCATGACCCACTTTTCACAGCTGGGACTGGTGAGGAGCGCTCATGCACTCGTGCTGCCTTGAATAATTGGGACTGCAAGGTGAATGTGAGGAGAATAGTTAAAGACAGAAGCCTCCCTCGCTGCTGGGAGAATGCGCTTCAGTAGGCTGGCTGCACACCAGCGTGTTCGGTCACGCTGTTTGAGGGGTGGAAAGATGATAGCTGTTTGACAGACGACTGGAGCTCATCTGGATCCATGATCCAATTCAAAATGACAAATGTGCCCTACTGATAGCAGTTGCCAGATTGTAATTTCAATGCTGAGCATTTCTCAGGAACAAAACAAAAACTAATCACCCCAAATCAACATAATATATTCTTTTCATATATTCCCTTCCTGTTTTTCAGTGTCTCTCCTTTAATTCTGCATTTTCCCCTACTACGTTTTAAATCATTAGTTTTTTCCCCTTTCATCTACCTCACAGAAAAGGTAATCTATCATGTCATGCTCTATAGAGACAGGAACAGAAAGGGCAGATGAATAAATAAAAAAAGACTGATATGCTATTTGACAGAAGCAATACAGAAAGGGAAGACAAACAGGGAGAGATGGAGAGTGGCACTGACAATATCTCCACCCAGCCCCCAACAGTTGAAGGACAAACCACCCATCTCCACCTCTGTGGAACTCACTCAGCACCACGTAAATGAGGTGACGTTTCACAATGCATGACGGGCAATGCACTCTCTATTAGATCTAATGGACAACGAATTGCCTAAAGCGATTAACCTGTATACTGTAATACAACACCTTGAAAAAATATTTACAGCCGCAAACTTGAAATTATGTTGTGTTAATGATTTATGTGATAGGCCAACAGTAATTAGCACGTACAGAAATGGAGCTGCAAATAAGTTTTTTTTTTTTTAGAGGAAAATCTAAAATATTTTGTGGATTTATTTCCTAGATCTATTTACTATATTACCCCTCAGTAAAATAAGCATCATGAAGGCAAAGGAGCACATGGTTAAAGGCTAAAAGGATAAGCTAAAAAAAAAAAAAAAACAAGATTGCTCTTAGCAGGTCTATAAATACCCTCCATCCATCATTTGAAAATGAAAAAAAAGTACAGCACTGCTGTCATGATACACACCATGAAATTCGGTGGTGGCAGCATCATGCTGTGGGGATGCTTTACTTCTGCTGTGAATGGAATGAAAACAATTTTTCCACCTTACTCACACGCAGGCTCAGTAGGAGGGATTGCTTCAAAGTGAACAGCTGGATGCCATCAACTTTCTGCTCTTTCTACATGTTTGTTCTGGAAGGGAAGGAACTCGTCATTGAGAATCAGGTACAAACATGACATTGATTGTGCTGCTTTTTAAAGTGGGATCAAATGGAATTCTATGTAACCTACTTTGAATGTGTTGATTTGACTGGATTAAATGAT